GTGTACATTTTTGCCATTTAATCTCACACCAGACCCAGTACGACGAACACTTTGTGCCTGATGTGTGAGTCTTGATTATTCTAGCGCTTACCACGGTTTGAAGAGCATTCAACATCGTTTTTCCTCTCTTCGGTTGTTGGTCTTTGGACGCGTGTTTCCATATCAAAATTTTTACATACGTTGGGATTCATCTAATCTGACTCGAACTGTTGTTGGCGTGAATTCGAAAGAGACGTTTCTCCTGCTACCCTTTCGCACTCGTCGCTTGCATTCACTTTTTATGTTTGTGACCATGCTCTTCAAAGATAAATGATAAAAATTTCTAACATTGTGATGGCCAGCTCCAGGGGTGCCGCCTTTTCCAGAAAACAACATTTACAGACCAATGATAACAACTCACTTGACAGCATCCAATTGGTCCTCTATCTCCACCAGTCCCAATTTCTTGTACACCTGGTGTTCGAACTTTTGTCCATATCCCGTAGAACCTCTACCATCCACCATGAGGACCAGGACTTTTGCTGTAGCTGCCAAGTAGGCGGTCCAATCTAATGTAAATTTTGTGGTCACCAGCTGACGGCTGGGTCCCCCATAACTGAAATGAAATTTAAAAAAAGTCGCATGAGCTTAGTCCTTCGCTCACTTGGTGCTGTGGTTGGAGTTGCGAGGGCAGTCCATTGAAGAAAATTTAAAAATAGCAAGTGGCCATACTACTTATACCCCATTTTAAGCAGTGGGGAATGTTTGCATCACTCTCACAGCGGACGCAGATGGACTGGCAGTATTAAGTCGATCGAAATTAGGCAAAATAAAACAAAATGTTTGCTCTCGAGAAATACACTTATTTGAAAATAAATTTGGTTTCCACGAGAGACTCAACTGAATCTCTCGTTTATGGTATTCTACAACTGAATGTGCTGCACACAGGCCGCCTCATATAGAATATCAAAAACGAGAGATTTAGTTGGGTCTCTCGTGAAAACCAAATTGACTAGCAAATGAGTATATTTCTCGAAAACAGTCCAATAAGATTTCAAGTAGAACATAAGGTTGACGGAAACTCGGGGACTGCGCCTACCTGATGAGCCCCAAGAAGGGCGAAACCAGTCGTGGCCGTCGAAGAGTTTTCAGCAACCTTATGAGTAGTTTCCTCTATGAAAAGAATGTTTGCTCGTTTGTAAGGCGCCCAACAGAGTGGGTACGAAAAAGCACAAACTTCACAAAGAATTTTATCACTCACGTGTAGAGTAACAAGGGGTACTTGATGATATGTGTCTTGTTTAGTTCTGGTGGGACAAGTAGTTTGGCTCGTAATTCTAGCTGGTCACGTGTTCCCTCACGAACAGTCAAATTGATAAATTCAGTCCTAGGCATTGCCCGTTCCCAGAGGAGTTGTTTCAGATCAATATTGTCCATTAACGTACTTTGGTAGAGTGCCTCCACCGAGGTGACTGCTGAAAACGAGAAGATTGAGTAGACAGAGGAGTTAACCGGAATTAGACTGGTCACGTGACAAAAAACACTTTTGAAAAATCACTACCTGATGAGCTCCAAGAACAGCGAAACCGGTCTTGGGCTGTCGAAGAGTTTTCAGCAACCTTGTGAGTAGTTTCCTTTATGAAAATCAATCTCACTTCTTCGTCGAAGTGGCATTCTAAATTCGATATGGTGTACTTTTGGTTCAAATTTTGGTCACTGGTTTTTTGAAGCCGAAATAAATTTGGCAGATAGCCCCAGTGCTTTTTAGTAGGCCAATGGCATTTTATTTTAGTCTTGGAGTATTCTGTTTTGTTCTTGGTTTTCGGTACGATTCTATTGTTCTTACCAGGTTTCCTCGTCAGTGTTTCTTAGCTAAATGCCGTTTTATTCAAAAGAATCTCATTTGCACACAAAATTTGATTTTGATCAAACTGAATATAACCGGATCACTCGTTTATGATGAGCAACTGAAATCGTGTGCAAATAAAAGTATTTGTTCAAACCGGTCACAATTGGTTTGACAGAAATTTGTGGACTACACCTGCCTCACGGGCGCCAAGAAAGGCTAAAGCAGTCGAGGTTTGTCGAAGATTTTTAAGCAACTTCATGAGTAGTATGCTATTTCCAGACAATAAGAAGGATCTGTTAGTGTGGCATTCTTCCGAATTTATTACTCAGCGAATACAAAGTGTGTCACCAAGGGACGCATCGAGTTTGAACAATCTTGGGCACGAGTGAGTCATGGATCCCCAAGAAATCGAAGTATATGGTGAGACCTATGAAGTTTCAACCGCTGAAATCCAACGAATATCTTGGTCAGAACACTAGTATGTACAACAGTGATCTGCGATAGTCTGACGCACGTTAGTTGCGTGGGGATATCAACTTCCTCAGCCGTACAAACATATCGGTATTCACAAACGTCTGATGAGACGGTTCAATATTTCTGATCCATAACTCCAAACTGTACTGGAGACCTAGGAAAGTTGGTATTCCCGAATACTGTCATGTGATTAGCTCAGTGGGTAAAAGCTCCTTAGAGGTATGCATCTTGTACTCAGCATACTACTAAAATCTTCAAAGTAGCAGCTTTAAAATTTTACTTTCAAACGCCAGTAGTAGTTATGTCGGTAAGAATTCAGTGTTTACATCTGCAGCTTGTTCAGCCATTCCACAAAACGGCCACTTGTAAAAGGGGATGGAGCTGCATTTGAATCATACTTTTTAAAACTGCCAGCAAACTTATTGATTTGATAAAAAGCTGACCAAATCTCCCCATGCAGACTTTGGTGGGTACTCATTGAGTCGGATGAGCAAATACGTGACCTGTTTGGCACTATTGACGGTGATCCCGTACAAACTGGCTGTTGTGCGTGAGGACCTCCAGTTGAGCTCACGCTGTTCACTCAGTAATCCGAGTCATTGTGATTCATGGTGGAAAGGCTAGCTTCTAAGACTGTTTAGCCATGACGTGAAAAAACTGGGACAATAACCAATAAGGATTATCTATCTAGAGAAAATTCGTTGATCTGCAGCCGAATGTTGTTCGTAAGAGGGATGAATTCTTTCAAATGGTCTTGAGAGAGATCCTAACGTTGGTCTTCCACAAATAGGAAACCCTTAAGAGAACTACATTTCCTCGGTTTCGCGAACTCTATCACCGCAGTAACGGGTAAAAGTCCGAACCTCCAAAGGGTGCTGGGGATTTAGGGCAAGTTCCACCCCGCCTACACTCACTCAGCACTGTTTTTCAGAATGCAGATAAATCAGACGCTGTTTGTCTTGATGTTTGATTTCTGCTTGGTAGTGACGAGTCAGGATGTTCGGAACCTAAAGTCAAGTGAGTCTTGCGAGCCCCGATTCACGCGATATTGAGCAGCGATGGTAAAAGCAGAGTAGATTAACCTTCCACCAACCTCCCTCACAGCTTGAATCTTTTCTAAGCAAGTTTAGTGCAAGAAAACCACGCTTGACCACAACCTGGTCTCATCTGGTCATTGAATGTTTAGATCGGTTACCAGGTGGATTCTGCGCTAACGGTAAATATAAGCAAATTTTTCCGGTAACTTAAACGTGAACAACGCGAGATGGCTTCATCTAGTCGCATATCATGAATTTGAAAGACATCGATATACTTGAGCTTGGATACGTTATACGACAGAGGGTGTGGCAACTGACTGAGATGCGGTACTATTTCATCAAGTCACTTCGTTGCTCTTTACGGAGTGATGAACCTGAGAGGAATGGCCAGAGAAATACACTCATTTGCGAATCAATTCGGTTTTCACGAGAGCCTCAACTGAATCTCTCGTTTATGATTTTCTACAACTGAATGTGCTGCACACAGGCCGCCTCGTGATTCAGTTGGCACGATATTTGAGATATCGCAGTACATTTCCATAAAGGAGACTACTCACAAGGTTACTGAAAACTCTTCGACAGCCCACGACCGGTTTCGCCCCTCTTGGGGCTCATCAGGTAGGCGCAGTCCCCGAGTTTCCGTCTACCTTATGTTCTGCTTGAACCCAAATTGGACTGATTTCGTCAGTTGAGTCTCTCGTGAAAACCAGATGTGTTCAGTTGTGTAGATGAGTGTAGTTCTCAAAAATGGTTCAATTTGGGTTCAAGCAGAACATAAGGTTGACGGAAACTCGGGGACTGCGCCTACCTGATGAGCCCCAAGAGGGGCGAAACCGGTCGTGGGCTGTCGAAGAGTTTACAGCAACCTTGTGAGTGGTTTCCTTCATGAAGATTTTAGGACTACTTGAAGGGACTCTCGGCAACAGCTTCAAGTTGTGAGATATTGGAAAAATAGGGCTTACTAGTAATTGTGCAGGAATCGGTTTCAAATGGAATCAAACACAATTAGCACTGTAGGAATCACAAACAAGTTTCCCACAAAATTGTACATTAACCTGATCAAGAAACTCTCCCTTAGAAGGAACCAAGTTGGCCTGATCTTGTTGGCGATCCCCACTGCAGAAGATCGTGGGATTTCGCAGTTGAGCAGACCCAAGCGACCTTGTGAAATAATCAATCTTTTGTACGCCCAAAAGAGGCGAAATATTGTAAAACGATTGGTCAGACAGATAAAAAAGCGTACTCAGACACAAATGCTCGCCAAATACCAAAACTAAGGTCCTTGAGTCAGGGGAAACTCCTCTCATGACGCCAGAGTAAGTAATCATGGAACGTTAACTTACCGCCAGAGATATCCGTGGTTCGGTTAATTTTATACAGAATATAAGTGGGCGGATCGGGGCCACGGCATTCTTGAACAAACCAATGTCCGTCCCGGGACACTTTCGCCCGGTTGTATGTACAATTGGGATTAGCACAAGTCAAGCAGGAAATGTCGCCTCCGGCTTTGCCCCTGAAATACGGGAGAGTAAATATTTTGAACGGAGATGAAAATAGTTTCGAGACTTTTGTGATAAAGAGGTGAATGGGGAATGTGGAATTGCTTGGGGACTCTTGCGGAGCATTTCTGAAAGCCATTGTGCCAGCAGGATGCTAAGCTTCCTTGATGCTTACCATCGGTAGATGAATTGATTGTCATTTGTGTGTCACGGGATTTCTGTTAACGATCTTTAACTTGTTGAGGGGGGAGCGCTTTGGCAAATCGTACTCAGAGTCACTTCTTCCGGGATAATTCGAGTTTATTCTCAAACCATGAATGACTCCTGACCTACTCCTGACTGGCTGTGGACTAGCTGTTTTACCAATGAAGACAGTAAGATGCTCGGCAAAAGAAGTTCGATCAAACGCCAGGAATTCTATCACAATTCCTACGTGGAACCATTTCTAATTGGTTGGAAAGTGCATGGCAAGCGGATCACGTGACATCCGTTTGCGGACTGTTATTGATAACCTTTCTCACTCAAGTCCCATCTAACCTCGAGGCTATTGGACAATAGGAACGAATGACATGGAGTGTTTGGTCGAAATATAGAAAAAAACAGACCTTACCAGTATAAATGTGAATGTTTCGGATCAGGACCCGTGCCAAGAAAAAGAAATTCATCATCTCCATTGAAGTACAGAATATCCGAGATATCGAAATCTGGAGTAATAATCCATTTCATGGTTTGCTGTGTTTCTCTTCCGCTAAGATCCTGTCGGTGTTAAGGGAGAAAGGAATTTGACGGTTTTAGTGGAACATCTTTGCCCAGGAAGAAGTCCCACAGGTTCATTCGCTCTAGTAACGGATGATATCCTAATCCACCCCTAGATTACCGGAACTTTGAGGACCTTGGTCATTCAGCACAAATTACTTCAGGAAGGAGCTCACATGAGGAGTGGATCCACAAAAAAACGACAGCAAAGCTAAAAAAAAGTCGGGGAGTTATTTTGAACAAGAGTACTGTCACAGTGTCCGGAGGACAGCCGCCCCTAATAGCCGAACACCGCATTTGAACGGACGTGTCACGTGAAGGGCACGTACCAAGCGAAGGCATGCCCTGATTGGTCAGAATGCCAACCAATCCGAGCCGAGCATTCTTGACTCGACGCTTCTCGCCTCCCCACGTCTGCCACCACACCACCTTGTGGAACACTCTGTGACTACCCTATAAATACAGTTGTAATAATTTTCCACTGTCTCCATAAAAGGTTGTCTAGAGCTACCGTGCCTTTTGACATATCATAGTGGGCGGAGTAGGAAGCCAAGGGACCGATAAAGAGTTGCGCTACCGTTCAGCAAGACACAGCACAAAGATATCCAGAAAAAGTGTGCGTGGAAAACAAGCACACATATATATCATAAAAAGCATTAACCACCATTTGAGTGAATATCAGTTAGCGAGTCTTTGCACACACAAAGACACACACAGTGACTTACGACTCTTAGTCTGGCTATTCCGCGATACGCCTTTTCAGTGTATTCTCTTGGCAGAATAATGAAGAGGCTTTGCGTTTTTTCATGTACGAGAGGTTCTTTATTAGCCTGTTTCGTCTGAAGAGGGGAAGAAATGAAGGTCGGAATGAGACCGAAAAGCGATAAGCACGCGAATTTTGTCCAAATGAAAAACTTGTCATATTCTGGTACGTGGGTATTATCATCACCAGTATTAGAGCTGCTGGCGAAAGGTTGGGCTGTTTGCAACCAGTCCACTGTGGTAAATGATGAGCAAGCGTCATTCTTACAGCAATGAAAACCAATTTATTTCCAGTTGCCTAAAAACATCAGCTGGTCTCCAGGTGAGCTTTTAGCAAGACCAAATTAGTTTCCCAATGAGTGTAGTTCTCTAATTTCGTGGAATTTGGAAGCAAGCAGAACGTAAGGTTGACGGAACCTCGGGGATAGCGCCTACAAGATATGCCCCAAGAAGGGCGAAACCGGTCGTGGGCTGTCGAAGAATTTTCAGCAACCTTATGAGTAGTGTATTACGTCATCACAGTGTATCTTCGCATACACTTACCATGTCAACCCACCCGTTATTGGCAGACGTTTTGTAAATCTGTTTGGGAAGAAAGGAAGAAAAGGAGTAGAGTTGGTTCACGGAAAGGAAGTGAGCTTTTGATGTGAAATTGAGTACGTCACAGGCTCACTTAACCTAGCTCACTGACACAATGAGCCGGAAAAAGGCTGAGGCCGATCCACACTATTCCTTTGTCAAACTGCGAAGACTTCAATCTTTTCTTCCTGCTTTCATTTTATGTGCGTAGCAACTTAACTCCCAGAGGAACTTAACAGTTAGCGGTCAGAAGTGTATGAGCCGATAAACGGTGCGGCAGAGCATAGAACAATCAAATTAATCAGATGAAGATACCATATCAAGCTATCATCAACTGGGTAAAGGCATCTGACCTGAAGTTTTCACGGATTCTGGTAATAACTTCGCAAATGAATGTTGCCACCTTTGGTATGCCGTCTGATACGTGTCGGTGACTTGGAGAGCCAGTGTTTTCTTTTCGTCTACGGCTAATTTCGTCCAGTGGATGGAGCAACCGGTTCATTCACTTTTGTACAGTCGTATTCCCTTTCAGGCTCCAATAGCCCTATGCATGCTAGCAGTCTTCTACAAGGGTTTCCAACACCTCTGGAAAATGATGCACCTACATCGACAGACGCAGCGCCAGAGACACGCACTGATCTCTGAAGTAGCCGTAAAATGATTCGATGCCTTCCAGCATTTGTAGAGGCTGTCATTTTGCTAGGCTTACTTCCTAATCTGCGGTTTGAGAGGGTGGATAGAGTAAAAACTCGAAAGATTCTGGTTCAGAGAACCTTCGCAGAAGGCGAATTCTCAAGTCCTTTGGTCTACCCTTTTCTCCGTTTTCAAGTGTTTTCAGTAGAACACACTCTTGATTCATGCGACTGTCTCCCTTTGGACGGAAAACCATGAGAATATATCCAGTGAAGAAAAAAATGCCGGACAACTCACCACCCACGAAGAGTTTCTCGTCCAACTGACAACCGTAATCCACGCCTGGGTTTGTGTGCGATCCGACCAACACACGATAAGGGTGTCTGGATTGTACCATCGTTCGAACATAAAATGCCCATCCCTGAGTACGGAACAAAAGCCATGCAGTTGCACAAATCAGAGAAACTCGGTAGTTTTAAAATCACTCACAGTTTGACTTTTTCTCATTAAGAATTCTAAGAGATCTAGTCGTAAACGGTGGTAGTTTTAAAATCACTCACAGTTTGACTCTTTCTCAATAAGAATTCCAATAGATCTAGTCTTAAACTGTTCAAAATGAGCTATATTGTTTGTCACGTGACACTAGTCCCGTGACACCACGAGGTCGTAAATAGACGCAATACTCATCATAGAATAGTTTGGTCCAACCTTTTCTGATGCATCCGGCAAAGATCTTCCCCGCTGCAAACCGTATAATTTTATAGCCCTAACGAAGAGGGATGCTGAGAAAAGTGGACAATGGGGCACAGTCTGTTTGGCGGAAGGGATTTGATGCTCGATTAAAGCTGATGGTGAGGTGGAATAAAACTCTGAATTTTGCTTGTATCTTTCAGGACAGGCCATTGTGGACAATATCCTGTAGTCAGCTTAGACAAGTGCAAAGTGGTAGAGCGCAAAAGAGCGCGGAAGCTCCGTGGTTCGAACCTGACCTCTGCCTCTCGACTATCCCTGTCTAGGCTTGGGTAACCTGACAGTATCCCAACCGTCGTGATTCCTTCTGGTGCATGGCAGTTAGACACTGAAAGAGGGCTACAGCTGAAAGATTTATTTATTTATTGTTTGCAAACACACACACAAATGGTACCAAGTGCGAAGTCCAAATCATAAACACCCATCGATGAGGTCAACACTGGTCGAATGGATTTAGTGTGCTAGTGTAGAAGAGCTTTATTGGGAAGCAGGCACAAGGATCGGCTTAACTACCGCTGCGAAGAAAATTTAACCAAGTTTAGCGCACTAGTCAATAACCAAAAGGCACGCCCGAGCTACCGGTGGGACGGTGGATGCTACTGATAAACCAAGCGAGTAGTGCTTGGTCTGTTGTCCAAGATCAACCATCACATTTCCAAAACACAAACGGTAGTTGATTACTGGAAACTACTCACCATGGAACAGAAGCTGGACGTTCGAATTCCCGCCGTTCACCTGCTTCTATATCATAGATCCAGAGACTGACTCTTGGGTTCCCGTATGGGGAGGGGTTCCCTGCCTAGGAACAGAATAGCAACAGCTTTAGCAAGTTTGTGGGGTAAATGACAGTAAAATGTTAACGACCAACCGTTTATCTAAAGTTGGTGATAAGCTCACAGCAAATCAAACGTCACTTGTGATTATGCGACAATACACCTACACGTGTTGGTACCAATATGGTGGCCGAATAGAATGGCCGCTGATAGTCAGCTCGCAAACGAAGCGGTGTGTTCAGTCAGGCATGACTCGTGGGGTGACACGAAAATTTTCAGTAATGCTGAAGGGGATGACACAAGGACGCCTCAGTCAACAATGTCAACTTGTGTCTAGACGGCTTCAGGCGCCCAAAACCTGATAAAGTATTTCTCTGTAATGTACTACACATAAGGTTGCTGAAATGCCGTCGACAGCCCACGACCGGTTTCGCCCTAATCAAATATTACATACCACTGAGGTGAAACCTACTCAATGAAAAACAACAACATGCAATCTCCCATCACTTGAAGGGTCCGAGATGCAAGGCTATGTAATACTGTGTACTCTGGCACTATATGGGACTCCGGTAGATCATTTTTTCGTTCAAACTCAGCTGGCGATATCAGATCAACGCGTAATCGGTTGTTGATTGACTCTGAAGTGTGGATAGCGAGTGAGCACAAACAAGTACTTGTCAAGAAATCAAATATTATAGATGCTTGGTCATGCGACACTGCTCCCACGGAAAGGTCCCCCAAGTCGCCTGTTGCGAGGCAATGCAGTACTGAAAAACTCCCCAAGTAAAACAACCTTGCATAACGGAAGATGACACGAACTCTGATCCCCGAAAACCGTCGGCGACATACTATGTCATTCCATTCAGGTGCTTCCTCGACAAGGTAGCACCATATCTACTTTTATCGTCAAGAAAGTTGCAAGCTAATTGTGTTCGAAAATTGACCAATTCTGAGAATGAATGATTTTTCGCTGGGTAACGTTTCCCATTCTTCAATGGAAGTACCCGTTGCACAACCGAAGACGCGCTTTCTAACTGCCTCGTTACGGATTCGCCGACACCAACCCACACGGGCTATGGTTCTTAGATAACGATTGTCGAACACCTGTTGATCCACACTTCCCTTCAGATTCAGAGATAAGCCGCTCTGACGCCATAGGTGCCTTAAGTTAGCAAACGCGGCCCGTGCCTTGCAGACTCGTGCACTGACCTCATCTGTCACACCACAGTTAGAACTAATACAACTTCCAAGATAAGTAAAATGCTCCACAACTTCCAGTGCCTCTTCCTGGATTGTAAGTGGCGTGTTCAGTGACTGTACGTCCACGAGCATGACCTCACACTTTGTGGGTGCAACGTGCATAACAAAGGACGGACTGACTTTGGTCAGTTCATCCAAGAGTACTTGCGCCTTCTCCGTCTCTTCGAACATGAGAACGATGTAGTCTGCATATCCCTGATCGACAAGGGTTTCTTCACAGGCTATTTGAACACCAGGGTTCGTCAAAGGGTGTTGGGACAATCGCTTTGGGGATGGGGGTGGGGTGGTTAATGGGATCTAACTCTACTTGGATTTTGTACTTTTAGACCCAGGCCATTTCGCTGATAACTGCACACCGCCTCGTGTTATCTCGACTGATCTAAGCCCGCTCTCTACACGTTTACAAGTTCTACCCCCTCTATTCTATTCACACTGGGATGCTTGGCGATTTCCACCGCCTCGGCCACCAGTCGCTGTGGTGTGAATCTTAAACTCCGTCTCAGGATGTCCACATTTTCTAAATCTATCCTATGTCCAGTGTCTAGTGCATGCCCTGCCATTGCCAAATCTTTGCCTATCGTCTGGTATTCATCCACGTTTCTTGGTGGTCTGTTAATGGAACGCTCACCGATTCCCAATCGGTCCCAAACATTTTCCAGTTGATCTCACAGGACTGTCGTGACGATCGAGTTAACCGATGCTGAAAGTGCCTCACAGCACGAAAGTTTCAGCGAGTACTGGAATTTATGTTCCCGTGGCCGCTTAAGTTCAAACTGCATACGAAGAACGGATGGATAAATACCTCGTAAAAATTAATGTATCACTTTATTCCTTCCTATCCGGACAGTTTGTTGCTTGACTACCGTTCAAACCAGTTGAGTCGTTGATGTAAAATGCAGGGTTTATCCCAACATGGAGGGCGATCAAAAGTACTCACTCTTTGTCCAGCATCGTTTTGCTGCAATCGATTGCGCAGAAACTAAAGGTTAGATGATACACGCACATACGAGCTTAAACTAGTCTGATTTGAATAGAGCTCACTTTCCACTGGATCGAATAAAATAGATTCGCCTCTTTGTCTGACTTTGCAACTCGCACAAATAGTCTGAGCGAGTTGGATCAACAGAGATTCTTTAGAAGACGCTCAAGTCTGGTTTTATTCGAATAAGACCGCTGTTCAGAAATTCAGAGCTGTCTGAGAATGACATCCATCAATGGGGATCACGTTTTCCAGAAAAGAAACCATTCTTCGTAGACGGTTTCGCTCGGGGAAGGAAAACTGCAAACTTTTTCTTCTTAATGTAGACAGAATCTGAAGAATTATGCTGCCAATATCAGCAAATGCTCCGCCTTTTCGCTGAGTTCTCGAACAAGCGTCAGAATGCAAACGAAATTCAGTGTGCAAAGAAATTGAAGAAATCGGCGTTAAAAGAATTTTTCAGAAAAGAAGCACTGAGGCACATTTTCCATCATTGTTATTCGCTGCTCGCCATGGTGGTCGCTAGTGTGTAGTTAATTCCGGAATTCTCCTCTCGTGTGCTGGTCTCACGTGTTTCATCAGACACCACGTTTTTTCGTTACTTATCCTGAGTAAATAGGTTCCAGTCGAATCTTTATACCTACTATTTTTAGTATTTCCGACAGCTAAACATTCTGGGTATTATGAGCTACGATTTACTGCTGACCTTCAAAGATAATGGATTCTCCAAAAGTCTCCCTCATCACTTTGGAAAGTAAAGGAACATAAAGTGACTCATAGTTGTGAATCCAGTGGGTACTGTACTCAGGAAGTCATGCTGAAATGCGCTTCTCAATTTCCGTTGGTGTTGTAAGGTCCCCATGTTGACCTATGTGTGCCACAAACCCTTTTCTGTTTACTATTGTGTTTGGTGTTTTTAGCCACATCCCCCCATCATTGAACTCCGTCATAAACAAATACCCCAGTTTACTAGTTCACGCAGCTTAACTATAGCTCACCGGTGAACTGCGCTGTTAATCGATCGTAGTTCGATCAATTGCCGCCGGACATTTGACGGTGAGCTACGTTCAGTAAACCCTGTAATGGTAACCCAGTTTTTGTGAATTCAGATCGTGCAGATCGGACTACACGAACCAGGCACACAAGTGGATTTGTAAGTACCAGACTGTGAGTATAGCTCATCGCATTTATCTCAGGTCGTGTACTGGAGATGCCAGAATGATATGAAATCCTGGTCACAATATAACATGTCAGGATGAATCACAGTTGAGCGGAAGATGGAGAGCATGAAGAGAAACCTGTTCCTGTCTGTTGTTTTGTGATCAATACACCAGACCATTCGAAAGTGGGCGATTTTCAAATTGCGCGAACTGATAAACTGTGCGTGCGTCCGGGGATGTGTGTGCTTGCATGACGGATTATATTGACGGAGGCGAATGTGCGTATAGGAGTGACCAAGAGACATTGATATACAGTAAACGGGAAAACAAGCTGTCACAAATAAGTCGATAGTAGAAAAAGACAAACGGGGACTCTGCAGTGACAAATTGCGAGGATTGTGGTGGTGGTGAGAATGGGGGGGGAGGTAAAGACACGACTGGTTCTTGCTTTGCTTGCCTGGCTTGATGTGATTGTCGAAACTAAGTTGTGAGATATCCCGTCATTTCGAAGTTTCTGTACAAATCTTGGTTAGTTTTTATCACGTAGATCTTGTAGATGCGAGGAAATTCGACCATCGAATGATCGTACAAATATCACCATGGATGAATACTTATTACAGTCATTTATTGGAAACCGTCGCATAAATACAGTTCAAGTATATTCCAATACATCAAAAGGTAGGAGACGTTTGAACATGGTTAGAGTAATCAGTAGATATATGAGTAGTGTGTGTCATCGAGAAATAACTGTCTCATCACCAGCACCGGAAGCATATCTATCGTTGACTGTCGCACCCACAGTGAAATTTGGAAATTCATCTGGAGCACTTCACAAGTACACTTTAGGTTCACACGTGCGCACATGAACCTAGAACCCGTCTGCTCAGAGGTCTCACTTGGGCTCGTTTTGAATCGGTTCACGACTCTCGTACAGTGTAGACACGTTATCAATTGGACATATTAGGACGCTTCCATTGTGTTCCACAGACGAAAGGACACGTCGGAATACTTTGAATCGGTTCACGACTCTCGTACAGTGCAGACACGTTATCAAATGGACATATTGGGACGCTCCCATTGTGTTCCATAGACGAAAGGACACATCGGAATAACGCTTGGGCTCGTTTTGAATCGGTTCACGACTCTCGTACAGTGTAGACACGTTATCAATTGGACATATTAGGACGCTTCCATTGTGTTCCACAGACGAAAGGACACGTCGGAATACAGTAGTATCAGTACGACCAACGGACTTTTTTTTACTTAAACCAGTTTGACACGAAACGTGAAGCTATCATGCCAAAAAATGCATACACCATCGAGTGGGGGTGTACTGAAGTTGTAAAAATAGCATATTCATTGATATACTACTTCAAAGATTAAGTAGCTAACCTTATTGGGAACAGTGCATATTTTTCAACCAGAATGGATTAGTTACCGGCTGACTTTCACAGAATTTGCCCCGACATGTTAAAGACAAGATGTCAGTCCACCCTCATCTGCTATTTTACAGTGCAATATGCAGGTCGCAGCACATGCCAGCTATACGAGAGAATAAGTAAGGCCAACTTCGGTTGGCGGTCGCATCAGGAAGTTCCATTACTACCGCAGTGATCGCGCATTCGTCTGGTAAGAGTCAAGTTCCTAACTCCAAAAGAGCTTTCCGGACTATGTATCAAACGCTTGTTGATCTACCAAGATCCGTTCAATATCAATGTCAGGTCACAGCTACGGCAATCGCGATTCGTTCGAGTCTGTGCACTCAGAAAGCGTTGAGTACGCGCATTGAGTCTTCCATGGTCTGCTCGTCCAGTTAGGTTAATCGATCCTGACGTAAACAGTTTTCACACGTTGACGCGCAGATTCCACTTTGTTCTCGTCTCACTTGTATGGACCGTTTGCCTTCCATGGAGTTGTAGTGCATAGAAGAAGGGATCTAGAGAACATTAGCTTTCGTCTTCCGAATGTCAACACTTCTGAGTGTATATGTGACGTGATGAGACGGGCCTTGATAATGGCTGACACCAGGGTCGCGGCAAAACATGACTGGATAGGTTGCAATACCTAGATCCGTTTTCAGCTGATGCTTGCTCAAAACTTTTGAGACTACCAGAAGCCATACAAATATAAACTTTGTCTGTATGTTTATCTCTCACTGTCAATCTAACCTAGGGAATAAGACCGGGGACCGAATGAAGTCAGGGCAAGATAAGGTTACCGAACAATGTTGTTTCCTCCGCGACTGTTCTCTCATAAAATTAAGATACCTCAGCAGTACAATTTAGTCTGGGATATCATTTGCGCACAAAAGCGCTGTTTTATGTGCCCTACCCTAAAATTGCGCGTCAAAGTGACAATGACGTTCTCCGCTGAAACCCGACCAACGCGGGTTTCAGACCACGAGCAGGATCTGAGTGGACATAGCCACGTCCGATCATCAAATACGTCTTTCTGAAGCATCGTTCTTGGCAAGATAGACTTCTTCAAGTGCTTTCGCGTGTGTTTGTTGGTTACCATCCCTTCAACCACTTTATCAGAGTTTGGTTACCATCCCGTCAACGTTTATCTTCAACCGCTTTCACAGTTCGGTTACTATCTCATCAATGCCTATTTTCATCCGCTCACATAATCTGTTTAACGCATGCACACCCACTGTTTCACTCCTGTTCGGATTACGTCATGAACATTTCGCACCACGACTAGCCAAGATTATTGGAATCCTATCCTAAGACAAGCNGGCAAGATTTCAACACACTCCGTCAAGACCGGCATTCAATTCCACTGCGTCCTACAAACCTCGGCTGCATCCGCTGCAACTTATCAAACGAAGAACTCGATAAGTCTCTTATTCCTTTTGTGTATTATTCAGTTGTACTAGTGTCTCTGGTAGGCACTATACATAACATATTCCCCGCATACAGACGCTAAAGTCTGTCTTCAAAAGGCGGTCTTACTTAAGAGCTTGACAGTACCAAATTAACTGCTGACATCGGCTAGCTGTCTGGCGCACACCAGTTTCGGTGAATGAATGTGACATTAGATCGCCAGTTGATTGGAAATCGATAATTACGCCTCCCTGATAGGCCCTAAGAACATCGAAACCACTTCTGAGCTGTCGAAAAGGTCATAGTAATTTTACGAGGAACATGTTGTGTCAAGACAACCTATGTTCATCTTCATTGTGTGATGGAGGAACTTGAGAACAACCGAGTAATTCTCTCGGAATGTGGTCCATGTTGTACACATGCTTACTCATTCCCCGGAGATGTATCCTCACGAGGTCTGTACACCCATCAGAACCTCTGGCCTCAGCACCAACCCGCCAGTCGTGGACTTCCATTTACATTGTCGTTTTCGACATCCTCAACGCACAGGTTCGTTTATGAAAGTTCTATTACTGGAAATAGTATGGCGCTATTGGAAGTTTCTTTAGTGTCGTTTCCTTCGTTGCGTCCAGATCATCGTAAGAGCACCTCCGCTTCATATGACTAGCCTTATATTTCGGAGAAGTTACCGCCCCACAGTGGACTGCCTGTTCTCAAACATCTTTTCTGAGAGAGGAGGAACATGCTTCAAATCTGAGCGACTCCGTGTAGTGAGTGAACTCGATTTTCAGATATGACAGAAAGTGATAAAATGAGTCTTGTTTACCTGCTTGAGCTGATGGGCTTGGACTCATAACTAGATACCTGGAATTATAGTACCTTTGTTTACCTCGAAAGCTCACCACCGGGAGTTTGATTTTTTTACACATACTAGTCACATGACTTCCCTGGACCCATAAAATTCACTAGCTCTGTTCGTTTTTCAAACTGTGATACCAGCGTGTTACCTCAACCATTTGATAGGTTTGTTCATATCCTGTCCATTGACAACTTCTTTCAGCCTTGAGAGTACATTTTGTCATCTGCTCAAATAGCTAACTGCGACCTTCATGAACATTGATTACGTGTTTTTTCTTCGTTTTCTATATCCCTGAGCTTCAGAGCACCGTCCGGAACAAAGTATCCCTCCATCGCTCATCCTCTACAATACGAATGCTAGAATACTTGACATTTTCGCGTGCTGTGATAACTTCAGCCTTCAACAAGACCTCTCTAACTGGGTAAAAACGACGTTTTCACTTTAGTCTGTTGACTTCAGACTCCAAGTAAGTTTCTCGTCCAGCGTAAGTTAGACTGCTCACGTTCAAACAGTCATTTCAGCGCTGAGAAAACTCCGTTTTTTTCTTTAAATAAAAAGATGGATACTTTTAGTTAATTGAGCAAATTTACGCGTACTTTGTGTGCGCTTGTTCGCCCTCAATCATTTCATCTCGTCTACCTTGATTGTCTGCACAATCGAGGCCTCACATTCGTGCTCTTCTCATTATCACGGTTAAGTGTGGCCCCCCTCAAATCTATTCTGATCCCGAAATACACTCATTTGCAAATTAATTTGGTTTTGAGAGACCTAAATGCATCCCAATGGAACCAAATCAGGTTGCAACTAAATTCACTTAGCTGGTGGTGTTCAACTTGGTTTCGACTAAATCACATGGTTGATTAAAAATCGAGGATTCCGTCTATTGATGGGCTTGAAAAAGAGTGTAACCGGTCGGCGGCTGTCAAAGAGTTCTTAGGACCCATCTAGACAATGTCCGTTTCTGGCTGTTTACAATTTTTTCGTATACACGCAGTGAGGCGTCTTAGTGCCGCCATTCATTAATGTCTTGTAACCCCACTGGGGATGTTTTCCAACATTTGCGTTATGGTACTATTCCGTAAAAATTTTATTTACTGCATTTTTATCTCATTACGTCACCAAACTTGAGATAACAGATAGCCAGTTTTGAACAGCTTCGCTTTTCGGTCATTGGTCACTTTCAAGATGAAAAGATTTTGATATATTTTCACGTGGACAGGAGATAATGAAATCTGCCTACAACTACCTACAGAAAAAACCGAAGCTCATCGACTCACTTGGGGATACTTGTGTTGGAGCACACGTTCATGCGTTCCACCGTCAACACCAAAAAGAAGTATGGGAACATTTGTTACATTCCGTTCATCGAAGGCAAGGAAGGCTATCCGCGTGGCACTCGGGTTCCACCAGACTGCCACATTAGTCCGCATGATCTCCTCTTGTGTGTTAGAATGCGTAGGGGAAAAGGAACACCAAATCCCAGTAAGTACATTGTAATACAGGTAGAAAAAAATCCTGTATATTGACCATAAAGGTACAGCTTTTTGAACGAGTAAGAAATAACAAACGAGGCTTTATACGAGAAAACCTCGTTGGCAGTGAGATTTTACATACCGCCCCGAACTACAGTGTACTGGTTATTTCAAACCTCAGACGGTGCTCTTTACAGCGCTGACTGACTCATTTATGTTACTTTCACTAGAAGGATAGTAAAGGTTGTATAATTTCTATCTACGTTGTATTTATGGCGTAAGGTACAAGAGGATGCCTCGAGATAAGTTTCCAATGCACAACCACCAACCTACCGCTACGCACTACCACACGCCCTAACAACGCACTGATGCCGTCACCTCGAATGGTGATGAAACGTCTGTAGTCAAATCGCCCAGCTCAGCGAACGAATCAACGATCATAAATTTCCAACTAAGTGACTTCCCACGACTAAATAAGCAAGTGTATTTTCAGTACAATCCCTACAGAATTTCCGACACGTAAGGACACAGATAATCTGAAACACGATCGATTTTTTAGGCGGTGCTTGATACTCAGAAATTGGGAAGACCATGATTGGTCCGTTTTGATGATGTCCTTGAACGCCGCAAAATCAGAATGCCGCCTGTTTTCAAAGCGAACAGTAAATGCCATGGAGGCGAATCGTTTCACTCCGAAGAAAAAACAATTAGAGTAATATTAAGAGAACCAGTTCCGAACGTAACGGGACTATATGACAGCCAATGGAATGACCGTTTTCGTTGAGACAGATTTCATTGGTTGTTCTTCACTCGTCCTTGACTGATGAGTTGTATTCTTGGTATCACTCTTTGGCCCGCTTGTACGCGACAGTGGTCAATAGACCGGCTGGCTCGCACGTTCGTTGAATTTTCTGGTTTGGCCAAGCGCACCAGGCTATCAATCGGCTATCCAGACCGGGGTTCACGGTAATAAGAAGGCATTTAGGAGACTGTGGTCCACAAGTAAAGCAGTGCAATCGTCATTCAAGATTCTACCGATAGCGTTGATACTGAGGTCTGAGGAATGAAGTTCGAGACAGGGAGGTTTCCAGCACGTCTGTCGTCATATTTTGACAACTGTCGAAATACTTTCATATCTGTTTCATCCATCCATGTATATCGCATTTCGATGCCATATTTAGGAATTATTCAGGAATTAGCCTTCCACACTTCGACGCACTGTCGATATGAAGTCTAATCTATCGTTTTCGAAAAAGTTTGGTGACAGTCGGAAGATTTATTGCTGGGGTTCCGTGTTGGAACCCCGAGTGACAACCACCAACCCATCGCCACGCACCCCCACGTCCCATAACAACGCACAGATGACGTCACCTAGAATGGTTATGGGACATTTTCAGTAAAAGTGTTCGGCCAAGTGAACAAACCAAAGACCATCCACGCTACCTGAGCTACCGGTATTTTCCTCGGCAGCGAACCTGGATAGAGAAAAGTTTGGGTTCAGTGTCTTTCCATAAAAAATTTGAAAAATTATTGAAGAATACAGGATAATTGGATAACCGGAACGAAGGTTGGTTTTATTTACTGGACAAGCGGGAGGCTGTTTCCCTTCTTACCACCAACTGACGAGAAAAATAATCGCCAAGAAACAGCTTGACAGGTAACTTTGTTGGACAAGTTGCACAGTACAACAAGGTGAACATTAAAATAGTGGGAATGATGTGAAAAGAAAGCCATTAACAGGCCCCAGTACATCTGTATCGATCATGGTTTCGAGACCTCGAATTCGTGTCATTTACAAATTGATCTGAATTCCTGAATGTGATGCTTTGAGAAGCAAGCAAACAAAGCTGGCCCAGGAATCCTCTAACCTGCTAAATTACGATAATTTAGTAAAAATGTGAAACAAACTCACCTAGGGGCTACAATAGGGGGTGTCAGTTTAGAAACTACTGCTCACCTCCGTACATCCAATCTGCCATTCCGTACTGAATGTCCTCATCTGGCATGCCTTGGGTGATATTCAAAATGGTGGACAATTTGTCATCGAAGAGGTTCAGATGAACGTAGACATGTCGATCGAAGGAAAAGGCCTAGAGTGAGGAGTTGAAGAGGGAATACGGCTGAAGTGAGCATTGGTCTTAAATTTTGTACAACACTAAGTCTGGGAAAAGGTTGCACGTGATGGACGATAAAGCATCAACCAACGATTATGAAATGATAATTACGCCAGGACAAGAGGACGACCGTTCAAACAAAAGTGATGTGAATCTGAATGATACATCTCCCGCAACCCCCCGCAACAGATTAGGAAACTGGTGCCCACCATTTGTCAAAACATCAAAGAGACTATTCGCTTCCCCTGAAGACACTGGCGCAGTTGAATAAACTTTTAGTGTTTGAAGTTCTTCTGACGTAGAGAAGGGAGAGGAAAAGATCCCATCTGTTTTCTGAAAGTATGATCTACAAGTAGAAAATTTCCATTGGTTTGATAAGATGTTAAGCGGTTAGTTGAACAGACGGGAACCGGTGATGTCCTGCAAATATCCGAGATGCGCGGAACCTAAGCCCGTTAAGCTGCACAGTTTCACAGGTCATTTCGGTATGAAACATTCAACAGAATGGCGACAGATATCATTTGGAAGTTACTTTGATGTAGCCACGGGCTCGGCCTCCCCAGCAATATATGACCAAAAGATACAAAATGTGATGTACTGACTGACTAACTTTCAGAGCATCATACTAATAATATAGAACATTTTGTTGTACCGATTAAAGAACCACTGACAAAAACGTAGTAGAGTTAGCTTGCTTCAAGTCAAAAAGGCCACCGTGCACCGATCTCACATTATCTGGTTCCATTTGACTAGTTTCAATTTCCAAGTCTTCAAACTGGCTTGAAGAGACAATTTTTTCGAAAGACATGAAGATGAATGCAGGGCCAGGAGAGTATTTAATAGGCCACACATTACACTTTTATTAAAAAAAGTTACGCAAAACAATGATTTGGGATTTGAAGTGAACCTGTGAAAGAACTCATCATTTCCACCTCGGTTAGGCTGAACCGTTTTTAACAGTACCACTTGAGTATTACAATCTGTTTGCTATTGGTCATTCTCCATCTCTACTAAGTAACACAAAGTACTGGCATCCAGGTGTACCTCACATTCACCCATTGAGATCAAAGTGTGATTTCATTTCCCCTCCTTTTTGATTGGTGTCTTTTTGGTCTGGAATTTTCTAGACTGACTTACAACGAATAGTTAACTGCCTGTCTGAGTCCGGATGATTCCACTACATGACCGCACACACACACACACATTAGATCACAAGCGTGTATTTACAGGGAGGGGTGCGACATTTTGCTTGTGCGCCAAAAATAGGATTCGATGCTGGGGACGAAATCGGTCAAGGTCATTGAACTTATTTGGACAGGTCAACTGAGGATTTTAGGTAAACAATTTTCGGCCATATGACCTACAATCACATGACACCTGGGTCAGTATTTGGTCTCGTGTGCACCGACGCCGCGCTCGGAGTTGAAGTGATGACTATCGACCAGTTGCTTCGTATTTGCCGATCTAATCACAACTTCGCTTTTTCGCACAAACGAGACGATACTCAACTCATCTAATTGCTGTACACGTGACCGCAATTGTTGTGATGGGACTCAGTCAGAATAAAAATTGTTCTCAACCGTGTTCGTCGTGAATGAGCTCGATTAAATTTTTTTGTAGTAGAACCAAGATTAAAAGAGGCGCGAGTAGGAAGAGTTGGGTTACCTATTTTTAAGTAAGAGTGATCAAAATCATACGAGAGACACAGATGCAAGTCTGGCAAATAGATGGTACAAATACGGAGCAAGGTCATCGGTTTTCTGGCAGATAACTGGGCTAATCTGCATTCTAAGTGGAGCCTTGGGAGCCATCAAAACCTGTTTGATAAGACTGGGGACAACAGGGTATGGGAAGGAGAATACACACAGTCCCAAATACGCTCCATTTTTAGATTGTTTATCCTTATTTAGTATGAAAAAATTCTTGAAAAAATTGCTTAACCTATGGTTTATTTCTCGTCTACTACGGTAGAATCTTACCAGATGGTGTCCCTCGGGTGACCAAATTGCAAACGGTAAGTACGGTTGTTCCAGTGCTTCTTTGACCGGACCAATTTCAACCCGTTTATCGCTCCCATATACATCCTCAGTGCTCCTACACGGTAGAAAAGCGGAAAAAATATGTAGGTAGGCGTGGACGAACATAAAGTTAGCAGTGGGTGTGTTGTATCTTGATAGTTTCAGGACTTATCGCAACATGGTGGTGAGACCGACAGACACAAAGTAGCGTTTATTACATCAGAGCAAGTCATGGAAGCCGAGGCATATTTTGCTCGTAATAAACACCGAAAATTGGCTCATCAGAGGCAAATTGGCCGCCATTCTTCGGAGGGAGAAACACCCCAGTGTAGGCACAGTCTTCTTTGGGAGTCACACCAAAATAGCTGCATAAGGTAGCCACAGCAGGACAGCATTTCCTGTCATATTGAAGTACTTTGTTTCCATCTGTCATTGTACTCTGTTCGGAGTGCATGCATCGGTACACGTAGTAATCGGAAGTGCCTACACCAACGGCCAAACACCAACCTATATACCTGGCCATATTCTACCGGTAGTCTGCCGGGTAATATGCCAATAAACCCAACCTCCTCTCAAGAAATACACTCATTTGCAAATCATTTTGGTTTTCACGAGAGACTCAACTGAATCGCTGGTTTATGATATTCTGCAACTGAATGTGCTGCACATAGGCTGCCTCATATTTCAGTTGGCATGATTCGCAAATGAGTGTATTTCTCGAAAACAGTCCAATTTGGGTTCAAGTAGAACATAAGGTTGACGGAAACTCGGGACTGCGCCTACCTAGTGAGCCCCAAGCGGAAGGGCGAGACCGGTCGTGGGCCTTCGAAGAGTTTTCAGCAACCTTGTGAGTAGCTTCCAACCTCTTCTCTTCTGATCACCTAGGAACTGTCTGTTACCAGAATGGAGACATATCAGATACTTGAAATCACTTTCAGGTCCTCTTAGGATGGAGTTCACAGTGAAATGCATCATACTGATTAAGCAAAGTCCGATGAATAATGTTTCTGACTCGGGAAGACCTAAACTTGTTGACTGTTGTGACGGCAAACATCACCTTATAAATGAAATAAAGTTCTGTGAAGCGAAGGTAACAAAGAAGCCGAATATGATGGTGGCCATCCTTTTCGCTTTTCCAAGTCCCTTCATCTAGATTTACCTTGAAGAGAAAGCTCAATTCCAAAAGGAAGTTGTTTGGATGAGGTACAATGAGCTTGCAGTACTAAACCAAGTGTAAACAGTCACTTACGTGAAGCGAAGTAAACGATGCCGACGTATGAAGGTTTACAGATTCTGTCACACATGGCTCGCCTGCATCTAAGCTTTTGCCTTCAGTGCATAGCTCCCCTCCCGATCTCGCCTACGAAAAGTGCACCGACACTCCTGTATTTACGTACCAACTCTGCCAGCCGACACTTCCTACCTAGCCCACCGCTCCAAATTATCGGCAAACAAAATTTTGGCGGCTATAACCACTACACGGCGGTTTTTATAGCTGCAGATGTTGACGATGCCCACGCACTTCTCCATTCTTTGGACACAGTTGCTTTGGCTCGAAAGTGGCCAAGTCTACGCCACCTTGGAGTTTAGAGGGGGCAACAAATCACCGGGCGCTATGGATCTAAGATGCAACGGCGAAAAGACCTTCAACCTGGCTGGTAAAGGTGAGGCAATGGTCACAATTGGAAGGCGATCATCATCATCATCATCATCATCATCATCATCATCATCATCATCATCATCATCATCATCATCATCATCATT